CCTCAATCTGATACGGAAAAAAAAAGAATTCCTGGCACCTGACTTCCCGGCTGACAGCTCGCAGTTTTTCAGAGTCCACGGCTTCACGAGCGCGGTCCGGCAGATGCCCACGGCAATGCGCAACCCTTTTGCATGGACAAATGTATCTTCAGGAAAAAACGCCTGTTTTGCAATTTGGCCACACGTTGGAACAAAATTCTTCAATTTGTCCCATCATTTCCTATCTATGGATGGTTGACCTGGTGATGCGATTTTTTTCCTGTGGGGCCAGCCTTTGAAGATCATGCACAAGAATTCGGCCAAAAAAAGGTCCAGCCCCTTGGATTTTATTTTTGACACCTGCGCCTCGGCCTCTTCAAGTCACCTTTTTTTGGTTGGTGAAGCTGAACATATGTGGTTGTACCAAGGACAAATGTATTTTCAGAAAAAAAAACGCCTGTTTTGCAATTTGGGCGCGTTGACACAAAATTCTCGATCATCCCATCTGTGGATGATTGGCCTGGAGATGCGACTTTTTTCCTATGGGCCAACCTTTGAAGATTATCCGCAAGTATTCAGTCAAAAAAAGGTCCAGCCCCTTGGATTTTATTTTTGACACCTGCGCCTCGGCCTCTTCAAGTCACTTTTTTGGTTGGTGAAGCTGAACATGTGTGTCTGTACCCTTTTGCAAGGACAACTGTATTTTCAGCAAAAAAAACATGTGTTTTGCAATTTGGGCGCGCGTTGGCACAAAATTCTTGAATTCGGCCCATCATGTCCTATCAGTGGATGATTGGCCTGGTGATGCGACTTTTTTCCTGTGGGCCAACCTTTGAAGATCATCCGCAAGTATTCAGTCAAAAAAGGTCCAGCCCCTTGGATTTTATTTTTGACCCCTGCGCCTTTGCCTCTTGAAGTCACTTTTTTGGTTGGTGAAGGTGAACATATGTGGTTGTACCCCTTTTGCAAAGTCATTTAAAAAATCATACCCACTCAATTAATCATGGTACATTTTTTCCTGGGGTTTGACATTTAGATATGTTCTAGTAAACTCCCATTTGATCCATCCACCTTCAAATTCCTGGCTACTAACCTTAGGAATTCTACAAACTTACCCATTATCAGAGTCATTCATGATTGATTTCCTGATGCCTTACATACACAGACTGATAGATCAACCCCCCCTCAATCACAACAGACAGAAATTGATTTCCTGTCGCTGTACGTCAGGAAGCTTTCAGGAAAAAAATCTGGGCCTTTTTTGGTATGATATTTTTTTCCTGGCCCCATATCATGCCCCGGGACCCTCACCCACTGTCTGCTAGATTTTTGGAAAATAGTGCTTTTTAAAAAGCGTACTGAACCCCCAGGAAAAAAAACTGGTAGTACAGAGGAGGGTATTATTGCGGCGCAGACACGTTTGAAGGGGAATCGCCCACCATGAGCAGCTCTGGGCCAAGTGAAACATCCCATTGCCACGCAATCATCTCCTCGGTCGGGCGATGCATCCAAGAGACGGAAAATACCCTAACATAATTTTAAATCAACGCGCCAGGAAACGAGAAGCAAATAGATTATTTCCACAAAGTAAACATACCTGAGCCAAAGCAAATTTTACTTCGAGCGGTCCACCCTAGCTGACACACTTTTCTTTAGGTGTGAAACCACTGGGCAGCACAGCCGAGCAACTGCCAGCCAATGTGTTGCCTTATGGTTGTCTCATGTGAAACTGCAGGTCAAACAGCGGGGAAAAATCCGCCGGCCTGCCGGCGTGTCTGATTGTGAGATGTTGTTCTTCTGTTTGTTCTTGTTTTGTACTTGTTTCCGTTCTTGGCTTGTACTTGTTCCTTTGTTCTCTCCGCGGGCAGCTTTGCCTCGTCTGATTTGGGTCCACCCCCCCCTCCCCCATGTTTTTCTTTTGACCTAATACCTACAGAGGTACATGCATGAGTATTGAGCACATCTATATGCGCCCTCAAGGCTCAAGAGGTACAGTATATAGAGTAACCCTGTGGACACCGCACTGACTGGCAATACGCCGAGAGTAAAAGTGTGAGCTGTCTTGGGAAGACGCCTTAGCTGATCTTGAAGTAGACGCTAGGGCCCCTCTTCAAGTGGTAGCGGAGCAGTGATCCTTCATTGAAGGTGAGCTCCAGGTAGAGCCCAGCAATGGCACGCCATGGCTATGATGATGATGACTTCGACATTGTCGATGCAGATGGATGGAACCCATATGACTCTTACGCAATGAGAAGAGCTCCCCAGCAAACACAGATTCATATGACGCAACAAATGACCATGAAGGTAGCTCCAGCATATGATGGAAAAACTAGTTTCTTTGCTTTTGAAGATGCAATTGATGACTGGTGTGACATCACGGAGTTAGAACCTGAGAAACGTGGACCAGCCTTGCGCAATCGACTGGAAGGAGATGCTCTACAATACAAGAGGTTATTGGACGGAGATATGCTCAGGGATCCCAATGAAGGAGTGAACTATTTCAAAAGATTTCTACAACCTCATTTCATCAAGGGTGCCCGGAACGTGTTCGTTTACCGTTTCATGCAGTTCATGAAGTTCAACAGAGGAACTATGGATCTTCAGAAGTGGATGACTAGATTTCAACTAACTGGAAATAGACTTTTTGAGCCTTGGATGGATTTACTTCCAGAACCATCAGTGACAAATCCTGAAGCAATCCAATTTGTTCAACAGAAGCGACAAGAACATGAACGAGATCAAACAGAGAAAGCTGAGTTGGCAGCAGCAACACCAGGCGCAGCTCCTCATGTAATCATTCTCTGGTCAGATGAACTGGCATTGGTGGCGTTCAGACAGTACAAGGAACACTGTAGACAACTACAACGACAGGCATTCCCATTGGGTGAAAATTTGCTAGCATTGATTTTTGTAAGTCTAGCAGACCTGACACAGGATCAGAGAAACACACTCACAAGTATCATGACACATCGTGGACGAACCCTCGATCAGTACAACATTCAAGAACTACGTGATCTGTTTTTGGAAATGTTTTGCACTACCAAAACAGCAGTTGACAATCCAATGATGCAACCCTCTGGCATGGCACAGAGAAGATCTTTCCTCGTACTGGATGAAGGTGAATTAGAAGGAACCGACGGCTATTGGGCCGAAGATGAAGAAGACGGCGCAGAAGGATTCCTGGATGCTTTAGAAGATGTTTTCTGGGTTTATGATGACGCCAACTTCACATGGTATCAAAGAAGGTTCCAAGGCAACAGACCAGACGAGGCAAAGGTAAAGGAAAGAGAAAAGGAAAAGGAAAAGGCAGAGGAGGACGAAGGTTCTTCAGATCAAGGAAAGGAAAAGGCCGAGGAAAAGGAAGAAGAAAAGGCCGCTCTCACATGGTGAGTGAAGAAGGTTATGAAGAAGGTTGGCAAGAAGGAGAAGAATGGAATGAATCCTATGAAGGCTATTGGGCCGATGATCAAAACTGGAATGAAGGCTATTGGGCCTATGATGATCTGTACTACATGGATGAGTATGGATACTTCCAGAAGAAAGGAAAAGGAAAAGGAAAAGGAAAAGGAAAGGCAAGAAAGGCAAGGATGATGATGGCAAAGGAGGAAAGCCAGGAGATGGAAAAGGCAAGTCAAACTATGTTCAACCTCAGACCACATCAACTCCTGCCATACAGAATCAACAACAACAACAACAACAACGACAACGACAACGACAACGACAACAACAACAACAACAACAACAACAAGAAGCTCATTATTCTTCTGCTGCATCAAGCTCTGGTCATGCTTTCTTTGCTTTTGCAGAGACTGAACCAGCACGTGTTGATGCCCTTGCATCCACGTATGCAGAACAAGAAGTACATCGCCGCAATCAATCGTCGTGGAGGACAGAACCGACGTGATGCCACAGCACAGCAAAACAGAGAAGGATTCAAGGAGTTCCCTGTTCTGGTTGGAGATCTTGATGCACTTAGACAAGGTGTACAACGACGTCCAGCTCGTGTGCCCAGGCAAGTTGATCTACAAGAAGGTGAGGCTTCATTGAAGCCGTTGGCAAAAGGCACATCAGGGTTTTCATATGGATGCTCTACAGAGATAGAGGCACCATGTCATTCTGAATGCTTTGCTGAGACAAAGGAATCAGATGAGCAGCAGAGTGCTTTTTCATTTCATACTGTACAGACTGATCTGGCATGTGAGAAAGGACTAGCTTTTCACACAGAGAATTCTGCACCACCAACTGTATGTATCCTGGATCTTGGATGCACAAGAGCTATGGGCTCTCGACGAGCAGTTGAAGCATTTTGCAGATATGTTGACTCACATCCCAACAGTGGACTCTGGTATGAAATTCAGCCAACAAGTTCAAGATTCTTCTTTGCAAATTCACAACAATCCAAATGTACTGAGAAGCTCGTGATATTCATGTATGATCATGGATGGAACACTCAGTTCACAGAATTCGACATTGTCGAAGAAGGTGATGTCCCATTGTTGATGTCACTTCCACAGATGAGAAACCTTGGATTTCAATTGGAACTTACTCCAGAGAAGGCTTATTTGTCCTGTGCACGTATTGGCATGAGAAAAATGGTTTTGAAGAAAGCCATCAGTACTCATCTCATTCTCGATCTACAAGATGTAGCATGGTACATGAGCCAAGTTCATTTCAAGACTCCTCAAGTCAAAAGTTTCTTTTCACAACACGATCACTTTGAGTACAGCCAGATTGCTGTCAAACAAGATGTTCATGAAGAAGAAGCTTTGGTGACTGGTGACTACTGGCAAGTTGATCCACTACGTCGTGAACTCATCAGACACCACAAGGACAAGAGAAGGAATCTACATGAGATGAATCGATCAGAAGAGACTCCAATTCCAAAAGATCAACTTCTTGATGAAAGAGAGACACACATGGAGTACCAGAAGAGCAAGAAGAAGGTTCTTCACAAGGACAACTGGCGCACAGATAGGAAGAGGTTTTCTGAGCAGAGCGAAGAGTTCTGGAAGAGCAAGTCCATCTACAAGATCAAGGAGGACTACGTGATCCCAGATGATGTCGTCAGAAGTGACCTTGATCGAGCAAAGCCCTTTCGTGGAAACATCGATGATCTTTTTCACCCTGAGTCAGCCTCTTCAGAGCCATCAGGTGTACAGAAGAAGCCACGCTCCTCACAGAAGGAGGAAGGCAAACCGATTTCAAAAGGACCAAGCTTGAAAAAGATTGAGGTAGGTCCTCCAGCAGCCAAGAGACACGTAGGTAAGCAGAAACCTCAAGTTGTCGATGACTCTCAAGCAGGTTCATCAAGAAAGAAAGTTGTTGTCTCCTATCCCAAGCTTGATGAGGAAGATGAACTTGACAAAAGAGCTAGGGAGTTTGGTTTGGACAAAATCGATTCAGATGAACCTCAAGTCATTGAACCAAAACCTTCTGCACCTGCGCGCAAACGTGGTAAGCAAGATTCAGAAAGTCAAACCGAGAAACTAGGTAGTGATGCTCTTGAGCCTAGGCGAGTTTCAATTCCGCATCGGCCTGATCGGCTCCAGCGGCTCCAGCGGCTCCAACGGCCTCATCGGCTCCAGCGCGCTCCAGCGGCCTCATCGGCTCCATCGGCCTGATCGGCTCCAGCGGCTCCATCGGCCTAATCAGCTCCATCGGCCTGATCGGCTCCAGCGGCTCCATCGGCCTCATCGGCTCCATCGGCCTCATCGGCTCCATCGGCCTGATCGGCTCCAGCGGCTCCAGTGGCTCTATCGGCATGTCTTTCTGGAAAGCCTAGCACGCCCCGAAGGAGGCGGAATCAGTTGCGTCCATTTTGCGCCTATGGTTTGCTTTGCTTCCTTTTGATTCGTATTGATCCATCGCCTCTTGGCTTGCGATATAGCCTCCAAGTGTCGAACATACAGGCCCCCCCCGAAACTAAGTTTTTTTGATACCTTAGGGGGTTGTAAGTTACATTTTCTGCTCCCCCACCCCCTCCCCAGAAAATGTAAGTTACATAAAGGGGTCCCCCTCCCCGAAAAACAATCGTTAAGAGGGTGGGGATCGCGGAGAAGGCGTAGAGGAATCGGACAAGCAAAAAAGGAGTGGAAGGGCAGGTGCGAAGGAGAAAAAAAAATGAACATCCAGGGAAAATCTAAAGATCCTCACCTGGCAGGTAGGACAAATAGCTTAGAATTTCCACAGTCAAGGCTCCAGGGCTGCAGGGTGGGGCTTTGGAGGCACAAACTCTCTGCCAACCGCTGGCCAAAACTTGGGCAAACTATGCGGGCACCACAATTGATCGTGCAAACTCTGGACAGTCTCTTGCGTATTACCTTAGGGCGGCGTGGGAATCGGTCACGCCCCTGGTAAAAGGCGACAGAGGCCACTTTATGTGCCGGGTTCTTGGGTTCAAGCGGCGCGTGACAATCGCAGTGGGCAAGGACCACCACTGCAAAAATTTGCCAAGCTCAATGACACCAGTAGCCAGCTGCAAAGTGCGGCGGCCTTCTGCTTCCATCTCCTGTGCAAAATCGATGGGGATGAGTGCAAAATTGGGTCACAATGAGAAATCTTACACCCTTACACTGTTGCCGTGCTATGACGGCCCTGCAAGCGACAAGGCGGAATCAGCCCTGCAGAAAAACCTACCGACAAACCCGGCCTCGATGATTTCCTCCGCCCTGTGCCTGTCAGCACCGTTCATGCCTGCAACTGCCTGCAGCAAGTCTTGCCCAGCAGGCACACCACAACGCTCGTGCATCACTTTGAAATCCAAATTTTGCACCTCGGATTGAGATGCTCCAGCCAACCAGAGCTAACTGCAGGTGGAGATGTGTGTGGGCGTGGCGTGGCTCATCAATAGGTTTCAAACAAACCATCGGCTTCGGGCCAAATCCAAGAATCTGTCAAAGTGCCATCCAAATCAAAAACGACTCCTCTCAGCAACGGTTTGGCAATCTTTGCGCGCGGGCCCATCTTCCGAAGAGCCGCCCGCAGAGGCATTCTGGCCAGCGCTACACCGGCATGGATGGCGTGGAAACGCCATTGCGGACAAACCGGCCTTGAACTTGCCACTGCTGCAAGCGCACACGCGCGATGAAAAAATACATAACCACGTGGCATCTGTACATCCGGAAAGTGCCACCTCAAGGTGCTTATAAAGAAGTAATGTTTCTTGGTTGCTCTCTTGCATGTGGTGCCTAGCCTTCTTAATTTGTAACAACAAAGGTCCACCACCTCACGATACATAGAGATTAATACACAGCTAAGGGCGCTCTTGAATTTAACTGGCAGTTTCGGGTGTTCGCTTGAAGTGGTTTGCAAACAAAATGCGTGAAATGGACGGGCCATCGCGATGCGGCGCATGCATGACAAAAGGTGCATTCCATTGCCATGGCTTGCCTTGCTCAACGTTCTAAAACGCATCGGATGGAGACATCGTAGCGGTCCTTCTGAAACGTGCGAAGTTGACAATGAAGGACGATACCAAAGTTTGGGAAATTCCAGATATACCAGCACCTACATGTACTGGAAAATTGTGTCTGTTGGGGTGGCGCTGGCAGCGTGAAGCGGGACATTGCGGTGGATTACAAGTATGACTGGTCACTCATCAGCCAGTCAATGAAGCAATGAAGAACGAAGGCGCGAAAGAGTTTGGAAAGTAGCGTGAGCGGAAAAATGGCCACATTGTGCTAAATTACGCAATTGAAGTTTTTAGCCCCAAGGTCAGCTTCGCTGGGAGTTTTATCGTTTTGCAAGTGCGCAAAAGGTTTTGCGAGTGCATTCCTTGAAGTGATCAAAACTTTACTTGAAAAGACAAGGTTGCAGGATGCACTGGTGCTCACAAGGTGGTAGACATCCCTCAAGCAGCAGGACGGCATCACCCCGATTTCTTCTTGGTCGTCTTGCCACTCCAAGATATCGAAAGGAAAATGTCGTCCTTTGACTGTTAACACCTTCCCAAAGCGACCGATGAAACCTGCAGTTGTTATTTTCCGGCTGCTGGCGCTGAGGGTCTATCGTCAAAACAAAATTGAAATCCAGCCCGACCGGAATTTTGTCTTCAGAAAACAACCAGTCCGAACATGTGTTTTCTCTTAAACAAGACAGCCGCGTCCAATCAGAACATTATTTCAAAAAAACGGGGCAAATGTCTAAATTCAAAAGAACGGTCAATTTTTCGTGAGCCGCAAAGCTATGCACAAAAAAACGAAAGTTCCGCCACGAGCAGAACATTATATACAAAAATGAAAGTTCTGCCCCGAGCGGATCTTAACAAAATATATAAAGCCTTGGCCAGAGAGGAGCATTCAGTGCAAGAAAGAGTCTTTAAAAAACCGTTCAAAAACTTTAATTCCAAAACTACTTGAAGAAAAACCGTTGAAATTCCACTCGCTGGAGTACTTTCACTCCAAAGAAAACTTGAAGAAAAGATTCCGACCTGATTTATATCATCTCAAAAACTGCGTTAAAAAAGGAAAATTCAGGGCCGGGCTTTAACAATGAAATGCAAATGATTCAGGAAAAACAAGCAAACCCCCAATGCAAGGCCGCTTTATCCTTAACCCTTGAACCAAAATGGAGTCACATGAGAAGGTTTAACCCACGCTTTGGTTGGTTATTTTCTGTACCCCCCTCCTTCGAGAGTGACTGCTACCTGCGAGCTACGGACAAAGTTGGCTGAGCGATGGCCGTTGCCAAGCAAGTTTGGCTGATTGCTGCATTGAGATCTGCCTATTCTGGAGAAACTGTGCCAGACAAACCACTATGGTGAAATCTTTGCAGTAAGGAACACAAGCTTATGGAAGTTTGGCCAGGTATTTCTGGGTGCGTTGGCCGCTCCTTCCCCACTTATGCTTAACAGTGCTAACTATTGGGTGAGAATGATCTCATATTCAGACAAATTCTACGAAGTGCACATCATGACTTCACACGTGCAGGGCGCGGCAAGGCCAGCAGCTCACTGCAAGGGCAAATCAATGCAATTCTCTTGCAGCTTTGGTCCACACCGAGGAGTGGCCAAAATTGCCTTTCAACACAAGAACTGATCAGGGTTGGCTCAGCAAGGAGGATTTGGGGTCTATTTCGGACATTGGTATGCGATTACTTTTCTACATGTGGGTCGAAAACTCCAATCATGTCTAAGGCTACCTGCCATTTGTGAACATCCAGGCATTTTGTGAATACGTCAGCAGCCTGCTGCTCTGTGGGACAATGTTGAATGCTAATATCCAGCTCTTTAAAAGCAGCATAAAGTCCCTGGACATTTATTTTGTGGGTTTTACCTAAATGTCTCAGACAAGCGCTGTAACGATTTCGAATGCACTGGATCGTGGCAGTATTGTCTTGATTACAGATGATCGGAACCTTGACACCAAGCAGTTGCGACAGGAACTCTTGCACAGGTATCGCATCACTGAACAGTGCAGTTGCCAGTGCTATGGCTTCGGCTTCCGTTGTTGACCGACTGCAAGCAGTCTGCCTTTTGGATTGGAACGTTGCAGGAAAGAATGATCTACCGCCTGCAATTGCAAGTAATGAGCCGGAAGTTGAATAGCCATGGTCAGTTTTTGATGCATGATCGGCATCTGTGAACAACCACAACTTCCAGGCAGCATCGGGATCAAGTTTCAACTCAGTTTCAACCTCATCCTGTAATGTTTCGTACCATGCAAATAGCAGAAAACTCGGAACAACCTGCGGTCATCATTGCAACTCCACTTGTAATCCTGTTGCTTAACTCATTCAGCGAGTGGAGTAAATCCGGTCTGCTGAGCCTGGCTAGCCAGTAGGCCTTCATAATCAGCTTGGCCGCTGAGGTAGCAAGATTATCCTTGCTGTCCCAATCTTCTACTGGTAGGGAACTCTCATCAAGATACGGGGCAGGGGCCTTTTTGAATCCCCGGAAGTCTTTGCATTCCTATTCCTGCTGATACAACTTGCACGCTACATCTGCAAACTCATGCATGTCGAGTTGGACTTCTCCCTCTTTGATCAAGTGGGTCCCACCAAGAACTCTTGAGACATCTTGGAGTGTTTCAAAGTCAAGGTGCTTTGACAACTCTGACGAAAACCGCTGGTGGTTCTCACAAGGTCCTGAAACAACAATATCATCAACGCAAAGGGTGACCAACAAACCCAATCGTTTGATGACAAAATTGGATGGAAACAAAGGGGGTTCAACTCCTCCCATGAGTCCGGGTGTCCGCACAACGATTTGTGGAGCTTAGTGCACGGACGGTGCATCCATTTGAGATGATCAGGGACTAACTCTTCAGGCAACTCGATGTACGTGTCATTCTCTGTCTGGAGGTCGCTTTGCATGTAAGCTTTAATCACATCTGACTGGGATGGTTTTTGTCCCCTTTTCAAACCAGAAGCCAAATTGATGTTCAGACCGGCAATTGTAGTGGGAATGATTTTGATTTCTTGAAATTCACTTGCCAAACCAAACTCATCCCTTACGTTGTTGCCTAAATAACACTATTCTAGCCTTTAGTCGTTTTTCAGTCTGTTACTCTGCATTCTTCCAGCTCACTATTGTCATCAATTTTCCTATGGCTATCTTTGTCCCACTTTTCCTGGATTGGCGTTCAAGCTCGCGCCTCGGAATTGCTTTCTCATAGTTCCAGGTTCCCGCATCGATAAGGCCCTTTGCTTCCTTCTGGGCTTCGCTGTTTGCCACAGGGTCATTTTTCCACACTCATTGAAGAAGTCTTGCAGCTCCTTAATTTGCCACCAAGAGCATCCTGTTGGCCACTGGAAGTGAACCCTGCCTCCACGCTTCGAGACGATCTTGGACAGCTGGAAGAAGAACTTCAGCAACCTGCGGCTTTCCACCCCTGCGCCGTCAACTTCTTTCTAAACTCTGGACCCAAACTTCTCAGATTCAGCCATTGCCAAGATGACCATGGATTACACGGGGGTCAGCCCCAAAGGTCAACCCCATTCATGGCATCAGAGTCCAAAACTTCTAAGAGTTGAGATTGCACTTCAAGCTCTGCAACAATCCCACTGGCTTTGGTAAAACGAATGTGGCACACCGACGGATTCCGAGACTTTCCCAAGATTCGATTGGGGGCTACAACAAGACTCGATCAATGTGCCATATGCTGGCAGCAGATTCTGGGAGATCCTTTTTACCTTTCTTCACACCCTGGATGGGGCGCGGCAAAGCCTGCTGCTCACCACCCGTGGTTTCAAAAGCACCGCTTGGAACTTCACCGGCCTCAGGCAGAAGTTGAAAGATGGTCTGACCAGTCCAGAACTCCTTTAGTGTTTTGTTGTTGCCTTTCCAATGCTCGTCAACGATAGTTTCTTCACTACTGCTATCGAAGTATCTTACTTTGGTGGTTCTAGTTCCAAGTCTTTTGACTTTGACAGGGAGGTCATCAGGCAACAAAGGGTTGAAGAGCTTCTTGCGTTTGATGTGGTGAAACCGGATGAGCTGATCTCTTTCAAGCTTCCAAGAGCCAACACCTTTTGCAATACCCTTGGGAAGAGTGAACTTTCCCCCCTGATTAGCCTATCAAATCTTTCCCTGCAACTAGAAGTGTGCTCCCCTTCCCCACTTTGGCAGGCTGAACAACCAGGACTCAGACCATAATGCATCAATCTGGAAAATGTGATGGGCTCGTGCTTGGAAGGATCGCTGGTTGCATCAGCAATTTCATCATGACCGATGTCTTCTTCGGGTGCAATGATTTCCTCCGATGCAACTTCCTCCTCCAAGGCTTTAACATCATCTTCCAAACGAAGCACTGGCAAATCCTCAGGTAACTCTAGCTTGGTTTGGACGGCTTCTCTCAAAGGAAACTTGTTTTCACCAGTTTGCACAACGACCATAGACAAGAACACTTGGAAACTAGACTTGCCCTCTAGCCAAGATTTGACAGTATCAACATCACAAACCAAATAAGTGCGCTTCCAGTGGATTCCCGCTTCAACTCGCCAACCAAGAAATAAGCCTGGTGAAGTCTTGGCACCCAGCTTTAATTTGGGAACGCCTGGTTTGTATTGAATAAGCGCCCCGAATGGGATCTGAAGACCTTCAAAATCATGGCCCTGGAGT